CTCAAATTCCCACAGCCCCTGAAAGCCATCATCAAGCACAGTGATGGCAGCCAAGACACCATACAGCTGAACCACACCTTCAACGAGACGCAGATCGGATGGTTCCGGGCCGGCAGCGCCCTCAACAGGATGAAGGAGCTCAAGCAATGAGTGGGAGGAGTCAGTGGAGCGGCACTAGGTTTTTCTTTGGGGGGGGCGTATATTTAAATAGGAACGGTTGTACAAATGTCTGTTCATACAGATGCCAGTTAAATGTCCATAAAGCTTAAGACTTGTGTATATACAAGAGATGGAGGGAAAACGGTGTTTTACGTAAACAAGAGCGAGTCTTACTGGTTCATACGAGTCAGGTGGGTGTGGCGCGGTGTGGAGACAGAGGGGAGGGCACGGTGAGCTCAGCGGCGATCCGCTAACCTTCACTTTCCCACAATCCTCCTCCGTAGCGGTTAATGTCTCCGAATCAACAATCACTTCATGGTTGTGCTACATTTCACCCTTCCCGATACTTCTCACCTATTGGTTAAATGTGTGGCAGAAGCCGCCTGTTTATTGGCTGAAACGTGGTCATGTGAGTCACTCTGTCTGTGCGCTTTTGGACCCAGCCAGGATGGTCACACTCCCTGTGTACTTGTGTTCATGTTTGTGTTCAGCACACTGTTTTTGTAAAAACAGGTTGTATATTATTGTTTGGTCTGAACCTGTGTAAACATCTGTAGGTTTTTCAATGCATGGTTATCAGTGCAGCAGCTGAAGTTAATGTACAGGGATTCTATGTTTTTACCTGATCTTGACATTTTAATGCCACTGCATGTGTAATTGGTTGCCTGTGAAACACAAAGTGGTCACGCTCAGCGCTGCTGTGTCAGTAGATCCCTGTCAACTTCAGGGTTCCTCCGTGCTGAGGCGCATTCATACATCACTACCTCTGTCTGTAAAACCACTCTGAACTCCCCACCCCCTCTCTGTCTGCCCTCTCTCTGCCAAAACCATGGGGGCTGCTCCCTGCTCAAGCTACGGCTTGTCATGTTTGGAGATACGGCACTCTTCCTCTCTTGGACAAACTGTAGATTTGCTAATTGGTCGCCATGGGTTATGAGATAAAGGAATATTCCATCGAATGGTGCCTTCGATCTCTCTGTGCCGCCGTGATCTCTGTGCCTTATTTTCTTGTGTCTTTAACTCGTGACTGGAGGCACTGGGGGCGTTGCAGATGGCACAACAGCCATGATGGGTCCAAGCTCCCAAACATAAACGCTGCTAAAAAGGATCATTCTTCCACCCACTAGCATTTTCGGTGCATTTTCCTCACCCTCGCTGTAAAGATGTGGGTTTGCTGTAGCTTTCAGTCAGTATAGCCTTCTCTTACCAATCCACCCCAAGCTTTTCTACACTATATAATAGCTTCAGTATTATAGTTCATAGAGCTGAATGTGTACTGAAGCCATTTAATCACAAGGTCTTTTGAAATAAGCCCCCTCCGCACTCAAATGAGTTTTCACTCTGACACCTTTTTCCAAAGCTTCCTACTTTCTTCAGACACTGTATCTGTCGGCTGTCTAGTCGCTCGGAAGCGGGACGTGCTGTCAGACAGAGGCTGCTTTAACCCAATTTGCAAGCAGGAAAGACGCCCTGGGATTGTGACAGACCCAGATCAATTAAACATGTATTTACATTTTGAAGGTCTACATTTATAAGTACATGTGCAACTTTTAATCAGTGGCCTGTACTACGAAGCGGGGTTACTGGCTTATCGGGGTAACTTATCGGATTTAAGGTAGTCTGGGCAAAGTGTAAGTGAACGAATATTAAGCCCATTTAAACGGTGGTACCTTAAATCCGACAAGTTACCCCGATAAGCCAGTAACCCCGCTTCGAAGTACAGGCCACAGGACTTGTCCATTTATGAAGTTTCCTAAATATTAATTTTCTCAGACGTTTAGGTTCGCAAAATAAAAATGCTTATCACCAATCAAGCTGAATTGCCTCAGTAAATATTAATGCCTATTAGAAGGGTTGAGTGTACGAGTGCATTTAAGCTGCCAGCACTGTCAACGTCTGACTAATGCCTGGGAATTTCCAGGGCAGGAGACGTGTATATACAAGGAAACATTCAGCTCTCTATCCTATCTTTATGCAAAATGATGTTTATGAGAACAGAAACTGAATTTAAAATGCCTAATTCACAATTCATAGGCACATTTTAATTTTCGGTCTATCGAGTTTCCCGTGTAAAAGTACAACGTGAGGGGGAGCTGAGTGATAATGAGCGCGTCCTCACATTCTGCAGTTGGTGTTGATGCTGTGAGACCTCCTGAAAGCGGAGTACACTTTAATGCTCATAGATGGAAGAATGTTCATTTCAGCTAATTACAGGCAGGTCACAGGTTACCATTCCCTAAGTCTGTATTTAAGTGGAATTTGTAGGTAAATTGGAACAACTATTATGCAGTATATAATAATAACCCTAATAATACAGTCATAACCAAAGTAGCTGTATATGTTACTGTGCTGTATTTGGAGCCAACGAACCGCAAAAGCCACAAAATTATTTCATGAGCGTCACAAAGCAGTGCATGGATTTATCATGGGCCATTGTAAGTAACTCAATTTTTTATTTAATAGGCTTTATGGCAGCCTGTAAGTATGAGTCGTCTGTAAGACGGACGTTCTTAACCCGGGGACTGGCCGTAAGCTGTAGTATCTTCGTGAAAATCTGGACGTGAGACCACTGCATACTGGAGAAGACCATAATGCTTTAAGTTAAAAGAGGAATCGGACATGAAGGTGATCAAGGTGAATGGATTCATCGCAACAATGTCGTGCCACTGGGAAGCCCGACGACCCAGGCATGACAGAAATTTCCGGAGGAATGCACTGTGGTCACACCAACATGACAAGACCTGATAATGGTGATCCTGGTGAAAGTAGGACAGGGCAGAGTGAGTGCTGGTGTGGAGCGTCTAAAAGAACAGGAACCTGCAACCCTTTGTTCATAAATCTAGCCGTTTAACTTCCATGGCACTATCTGGCGTGCTGTCTGCCCTCTGGCACGGGGAGAGCCTCAGGGTCCATAGATCAGGGTCACCTCTGTTGTTACAAGGTCTACTTGCAACTCTGGTTCATTCTTTGCAGCTAGAAAATCATGGCTTTGTTGGCTTGCTGAGTGGGATGTTTGCCTACGTCAAAATTCTCCATGATATTGTATGAACAACTCTCCAGGATTCTAAATCTGTGTCCACTAATAGTTCAATTTTACTAAACATTTTAAACAGTTTAAAGTTAACAGAAACGTTCTCTTGAAAATGATACAAAACAGCCATGGATTTATTCACTGCATTTTCCTTCTCTTTTTCTCTGCCTTGCTTGTCTCATTTTCTCTGCATGTTAGTACATTGATCCACCTATCTCCCATGAGGATGGGCAGATGAGGGTGGATGTCAGTACATGCAGTGCAAACAAACATGCTTTGGCCTCACTGGCAGTGAGTGCCATGCGTGTGTTAACCCATCCCTGTTATGGGCACAGGCTGGAAATCTAAGAGGATTCTGGAAGTCTCACACATCTGAAATTCCCCTGGGTCCCGTAGGCAGTCAGGCAAGATTTGACCTGCACAGTGAAACCATTGTTTGTGACAGAATGACAGATGAAGTGTTTGGGTGAGAGCCTGCGTCTGTGTGTGCCTACAAGTCTATAAAAATCTCACTTTGTGGTGCCTGGTAGCTTGTAAATAGTAAATTGGGGTGATGCACGGGGGGGCACAGTGGTGCAGTGGTTATCACCGTTACGTCACACCTCTGGGGCCCAGGATCGTGTCTCCGTCAGGGTTCTGTGTGCGGAGTGTGTATATCACCCCTGTGTCATCTTGGGGTTTTCTCTGGTTTCCCCCCACAGTCCAAAAACATGCCGAGATTAATTGGCATTATAGACCCCCTGCAACCCTGAGTAGAATAAGCGCTTACAGAAACATGACTTTGTGCATGTTTATCTGTGCATCACCTTACATACTTAGAAGACACTTTTGTTCAAAGTGATGTACAAGTGAGGCAAATAGCGCTTTGCAAACATACGTGCTGTCAAGGGGTCGACTGGCCATCAGTGCAGCTTGGCTGAGCTTCCAGTGAACAGCCCGGTACGAATGTAAGCAGGACTGCAGCAAGAGCTACACAACTTCTCACAAAGCAAGAACATAATGAGACTAGAAATACAACATATAATATCCAGAGAACATAAAGAGGCATCATGCTACACTCTCAGAAAAAAAAGGGTAAAGATTTGTACCTTTGCTTGTCACTGTGCTTGTACCCTCAAGGGTCTGCTAATTGTACCCTGAGCTGTAGGTAAATGTATATTTTAAGGCAGAAATGGACTCTGAGGAACATTTCTGTACCACTGATGGTACATTAATGCTGTTTGTACCTTTGGGATTGATGTTCCTCTGAGTCTATTTCTGTGCCTTAAAAGGTACAATTACAATTGTCTGAGAGTGCAGTAGAGAAATGCATGGAACAAATGGAACAGATATCTGGGCTCTTCGGAGAGGTCTGCAGAAAAGCATCATAGCCTCTGTGTGGTGTTGAGGCAGTTTCCAGCTGATATGTGGGGTTTGTGATGGTAACTTCCTAATTGACCCCAGTTAGAGTGTAAACATCACCCCCACTGATCCCAGTGCAGGCGGCCATGGTCACAACGCGAAGGATAAAAGACTCGCAGATCCGTTTTATGGGTGAGATGAAATCTGGCCAGATCCCACTAATTCCATTAGAAGCCAAAGGGTGCCGTCCATCATAGCACAAAGCACAATGGTAGAAGGTATTTTCCATTAACAGTTCTGGGGGCAGGGGAGGGGGGATCGTCATGCTATTGACCCATGAGAAGCGTGAAATGTCAGCTGTTTTATATAAGACTATACGCAGCAACCATAATAATAACAACATTCGAAAAACACTCTTCATAAAACCAGCAATCGATATTACTCTACCTCACATAATCGAAATACTAGTCAAAGTAATGTGCACCGAAATTACAGCGGTCTTAAACAAATAATGATAAAACTCAACTACCATAAACACATTTGACAGTGGTGACAAGCAACCAGAATCATGACCAATAACAGAATCAGAAATGAAATACCTTTTAAATAAAATTTTTCTTCTTCCATTCAAGATTTTTAAATTATGGATGTTTGCAATGTAGTAGACCTACATGGAACAAGTAACATTTCAAACATGCACACACTTGAAGACTAATAAAATATGCATTAAAACGAGATAATACTCGTAACATTTATACGATTTGTGCTATTGTTTGGCGACTATTTTTCAAGCCATTCTGTAGCTTGTACTCGCGAATGGGGAATTTTCCCCTCTTCTTGTCGTCATGTGCATTTTCGTGAGCTGTTTCAAGCGAACTTGCCAGTGACACCACATCACGGCTTGCGTTTGCGACCGTGAGTTGCATACGTGCCCATAATGTTAATGTGAGCGGCAGAAGTGTGTAAACGGAGGAGCAGATGCCATGACATCTAACTCGGTGACATGCCGATAATTAATTCAGATCGGCATCCGGTCAATTCGTTCATCCGGGAAAAAAAGATAACATAAAACGAGAAAAGAATGTTTTTTCGGTTTTAAGTGATTTCTGCACAAGATGCGTTATAGGAGAGTCGTCCTATTGTGTCAACAAAATGACACCCCCACCCCATACCCTCTCCCCATCCTTCCCCATCTTCCCCCCGTTTTCCCATTGACGCCCTCTCTCTCTCTCTCTCTGGGTGTGTGTGGTCCCGACTCTCTTCAAACCCACATGAAGGAGGTACATTGTCTCGTTTTTTTCCTGTTAAATCTCAGCGTTTGTTTGATTAGTGCATGATTAAACTAGCGGCTGATATCCCGGTATATTCCTTATTTATTTATTTTTTACTACGGTAAGAACTAGATTAAAAGCAGAAGGCATTGTTATATGTTTTCGGGGCGTTTTGTTGTGTGTTTTGCGGTATTTTGTCTAACCGCTTGCCATTTCTACCCTATTCAGAAGCTCTAGGATGAGCATGTAAGTCTCATTTTGAAAACGAAATCTAACTTATTTGAACGAAGTCACGACAAAGAAAATCAGACTTTAGCTAAGATTGGGCTGCTTGACAAACACGATTACGAATGTTGTTTTAGTTATTCCGGCTTGTGCGGATCAGGACGCTTATGTATGTTCCGGAACTGGAAAGGTTTGGTTTTCATTATCTTTTCAATGTATTGTCAAAAACCATCAGGCAGATTGCCGATCGAAAGGGCATTTTAACTCTGTAAACCGAGCTAAATGTTAAAGATGATTGTTGTGGATTTCTTAAGTAGCCTACATGCAAGCGTCCGTGTAGACGCAGACAAAACGGGGCTCTCAACAACCCCACAGTCCTGTGCACTCAAGAAATACGTGTTTCCCATATAAATGATGGCTTTGAAACAGACGCAGAAAGCCAGGGTTTGGGGAGAAACGGGGCAGAGGGTGTTTTGGTCTTATAAAGATTCCCTTTTATCACCCCGTATATATTAAGGTCTGTCTCTCTGGACCAGATGTGGGCTCCCGGTCCTCTTTGTAATGGATACTGGTGCATTTGGTTTCCCTTAAGCGCATTACTTTGATTTTCCTGTATTTTTGTCTATATTTATAGATCAATTCGGATGCGGTCGTTCGGATTTAATTTCACAGAATAAAACATTACTTGCAGTTCAACTTCATATCGCATTGTGACCCATATGCAGCTTACGATCGAAGCATTTGCTCTAAGAGTGACATGATTGAGTTTAAAACGGACAATATTTGCATACAGGTTGAGTGTCTATATATATCTCTCCTTGTAGGGTTAGTTGTTTACTCCGGCATGCTTTAGAGTTGGGACGCCATACGAGGCGTTGACACTAGCTTTCTTTTAATCTTGTTTGTTGTGAATCATCCTTAGAAGTGTGCCATCTGCAGAGTTCTCCGTGTACTGACGCTTTTATTCACCTGTGCCATCCTGACACGCTGCTTTGACCTCGTTCGTCAACAGAGGGCAGCACAGTCGTCTATATTTAGGCGGCTGCCCTTGTCAAATTCAACCTGACATAAGAAAAACTTGTAGCCATACAGAATGGACACACAGGTTTACAACGGGACACAGATCTGTGTGACTGAAGTCTTTAGTACTTGGAGGAACTTTTTTCAGCAGTGGCATACCAAGGCTTTTTTAAATTTAATTAATAGCGGGGAAGTTAACTGAGTTTAAAAACACAGCTCGCCCTGTTGTGTAACTGGAAACCCACTATAATTCCTTTTCACTCAGTTGTGCCTGTTTTTAAACTGGAGGTTGTGAAGATGGGCAGTAACCTGAAAGGATGCCAACGAGGCCTGTGTTTGACCCATTCTGTTTTATGTTTGAGAAACGCGAATTCACTCATACAGATTTTTCTTTTGATGTTTAATTTGTGAATTGCTCACTCTACTAATGACTTTCACTTTTAACTTTAAGGAAGTTGCAGGCAGACCCTAGGAGAAAGACTATCAAAGCAATTGGGCTCAGCTGGTAGCTGCAGTCGAACTTGTCTCTGATGTAATTCTCATTAGTGTTTCTGCGTTGGATACAGGGGAACCAATCTGGCATAACTCAGTCTGTTCATAATGCACGATGTAATCAGGATGACTGCAGTTCTCTTTCCTCTATTTTTCTGATGTTCGTCTCAATCTTTGTGTTCCAGAAAGATCGCCTGGCCTAAGGGGACCGTTGGGAACAGTAATTCACTTCAGGTAGAGGAGGCCGGCATCAGAGAGATCCCTCCGGACATGCAGAGGGACTGAGGCGGCGGTACTAAGCAGTTTCCCTCCGAGAGTCGATACCCCCCTACAAGCTGCAACTGCGATGGCGGACCCCAGGCCAGAGTCCTCCTCCCCTGCGGAGGCGCCGCTGCGCTCCCCAGCCACCCCATTCTCCCTTTCCTTCCCCATTTTGAGGGAGGGAAGTCGTGTGTGGGAGCGCAAGCCGCCTCAGCTTGGGGAACTTCCCAGCCCGCTGCCCACCAAGCGCACCCGCACCTACTCAGCGTGAGTCCCTGTTTCTGACCTCACGGAGGTGGAGCCTGGGCCTGTGGAGCATTGCGATTGGCTAATAGTCATCATAATACTATATGTCATCATGCTATTAATAGTCATCATAATACTATTATGATGTCATAATTAGACACCTGTGCAATGTGACGCAATGCTCTGCCTCTGTCTCTCCACAGCACGGTACGAGCCACGTCGGGGCCCACCTTCAAGGGCATGTGTAAGAACTTCTCCAGGTCACAGGGTCATGGATTCATACGTCCCTCTAATGGTGGTGACGACATCTTCGTTCACATCTCCGAGTGAGTAGCTGGAGTTGTCCGTCTTATTTTCAGTGTGAGACGGAATACGACTGCCATTCGACTAGCGGTTCTGGAATGTGTGTGAAATCTGGTTCTGCTGCAGATGTGAGAATTCTTGAAGAAAAGAGTCACAATCTCTTAAAAATCAGGAGAGGTTATTTGAGATTATCTTGCGTTCCCCTGCTTAAAGAATTACTTATGACTTTATAGATCCATTAAAATTTACAGCATATTGCGTAGCAGCTCTGTGCCTCTTACTATTTGCACTCATGCTGACTTGACTAGTCCTAGATTAAAGTGTCCAGTGCTGAATTACTGAACAGTTACAATAAACCTATAGTCCAGAAGGTCCTTCCTGAACACCTCTGGGTGGTGACTGATTTTAGCCAGGGGTGCTCAACCCTGCGTCTTTCCAGGTCGATCGCAAGGTGATTAATGGATAATGCTTTATTTCATTGGTGGCTGACCAGATCGAGATCAGTGAAATATACAATGGGGGGGGGCCCTCCACAGTCTGCAAAATATACAGATGGGCCGTCCTCCCCACCCGTGATTTAAGTTTAACGTCCTTTAGCCCCCATCCGTTGGGGACCTCTGGGTTATAGATTGGTAGCTGGAGTGTTGTGGTCATGTAGTTCAGTATAAGGCCTGATTCCGTCTGTCACGTGCCTTTCTTCTGACATAGTGCTCTGCAGACCAAATCACATGGCCTTTTGGGAGCCAATCAGCTGAGTATTTGAGAGGAACTAATTTGCTGATGGGGAAAGGGTAGTATTACCAGTACAGTAACACGCTGTTTCTGCTTGTATGTTTTTGCTCCGTGTTAGGCTTCCTGTATTTGTGGTCCAGTTCAGCCAGTGCCATAGTACTATTGTCTGCATGCAACTCTTTTCTTTCTGTCCATCGTTTAGTATCGAGGGGGAATATGTGCCCATGGAGGGCGACGAGGTGACCTACAAGGTGTGCCCCATCCCGCCGAAGAATCTGAAGATCCAAGCCGTGGAGGTGGTCATCACTCACCTGGCCCCGGGGACGAAGCACGAGACCTGGTCAGGCCAGATAATCAGCTCCTAGGCTTCTGATTCGGCCTTCAGCTGTCGCCCGGTGGTGCGGCTTTTTGGGGGTGGGCGGGGGATTATGGGAAAGTGCTGGGCAGAAGCTTGGTGAGGAAGACAGGACACTGCTGAGAGATTGACGTGGAGGTTTCAAATTGCACAGACGCTGGATGTGAAGGAGGAAGGCATTAGATCTGTTTTTAGGCATGTTGGACTAGGGATGTGTGTGGGAGGCAGGCAGGTGACGAAGGTGAAGGAGGAACCGTAGGCTGGGCAAACAAATAAGTCGATGCTTATCTTTATTTGTATCTATTATTTATCTATTTATTCTGATGGTGTATGTTGGATCCATGTTTGTTTGGGGTGCCTATATGGGTTTATTTAGGAGTGATGGGGTTAGACCTAATCTCTTCAGCACTATAACGGCGGGGTTTTGTCGCGGTGGGGGGGGGTAGTGGTTGAGCACAGCTTGTTAAAGGATGCAGTCGGCGATTCCCACAATCACTACTCATGGTGAACGGTTGACAAGATAAATCTTCAGAACTGTACTGTTGTCCTACTGAGAATTTGGTCAAGGTGTCTTTTAATATACATCAGCGAAATACGTTGGATTAACATAACTGACACTGGTGAAATGTCTGTCACGGCTGAAATGAACGTAGCTGATGGAGGACGTCAGGGTGTGGAGGTGTAGATGTTCTCTGGTGTTCTCCTGTCCCCCGACAGCTGCTGTATTTTTACTTCCTGGCCTGGGCGTTAAGGTGACAAGGCTGAGCGCAGCCATAGAGGCTCACGGTGACACTGCCCACGTGATTACCGGCTCTTCACAGCAGGATGTGCAGACAAGCACTCAGTGCTCACTTCGTCAGAACTTTCCGTGCATTAATGTTATTTGCTGTAATTATTAACAGGGTACAAATCTGTTTCCTTTTTTTAGTATGGAAATGTTTAAATGGTTTAACCCTTAATGTGTTCAGAATCAGTGCCCTTGAGTAATTTATACAGGCAATACATCACAATGGCCTATTTATTTTTTAGTTTTGTGAATAACTAAAATGTTGTTTTCCCAGCACTATTTAAGCGGTTAGTCCGCTGCAATTGGTGTTAGCTCGGTCGATCGTTAATAAATTCATTAATAAAAGGATTTTCTTTTTTTAGCATATGGCAGAGTGGTTATTCTGAAAGATTCTCCTCGCTCTCCTGTGACTTCGTGGGTGAAAGTCATCGCACAGGAAGCCTTTCCGGGCGGGGGCGGGGGTCTGGAACCGAGGCTCACTTCTCTACTTACCCTCATACATTATTAACCCCAGAGTGATCAATGAAACGGGGAGAGGTCTGCTGGCTTCTGGAGCTTCTGGAATAGAGTCATGCTTAAGTCCTATGCAAAGTATGAGCGCAGTAAAAAGGAGGGAGGGTTCATTTGTTTAATAAAATTTATTACAGAATGTCATTTTACTTGCTTTGTAATTCCATGCTCTTCAAAGGAGTGCCTGTTTTTTTCCATGCTGACACATTGTACTGTACAGTTAATGTATACCTTTGTCCATGAGTACACTGAGTACAGTACACTGAGTACAGTACACTGAGTACAGTACACTGAGTACAGTACACTGAGTACAGTACACTGAGTACAGTATAAGCATAGTATACCATGTATTCAGGTTACCCTCCCCAGGGAAGAGCAGCAGGTCCTGGCTGGGATTTGCTATGGCACCTTGTGATGACTCTGCTCCCAGAATGGGGGCAAGCAGACATCAATGTCAGTGTGAGAGTGGTGATACTGAAGGCCCCCTCTATACTGGGAGGGGGGGCTTGTGGGGGTGGACAAAGACACCAATCAGGGGGCTGTCAGGGTCATGGATCTTAGAGGCCCAGAGAGACCATGTGACCCTGTGTAGCCTCTTCTGCTAACGAGTGTTTTATTATTAATGACAAAAAACATTATATTGAAGGATCTTTACACAGACTGATTGATTCAGCATATTATGTATACTCCATCAATTCACTTACAATAATAAAACCACCCCCCCCGACCACAGCGCCACCTGCTGCCTCTAAAAGGGACAATACCAATTAATCATCAATGTAATGGCTTGTCCTTTAATACCGTGGTATAGAAGCAGATAATGAATGGCAGTGTTTTGATAACCAAAGCATATACATTTTAGGAGTAAAAACCTAGAGCAGGTGATTGTGGTACAGCGATCGCCGGCCACGCTATTGCTGCCTCTCATGCGAAGTTCCCAGGACTCGCGGATAAGCGATTCTCTCAGGGACTGTATTTAGACTGCGCCCCCTGCTGGAAGTCTGGCTCACAGCCTGCCGCTGGCACCTGAGTTTGCTAATTACAGGGAGTATGTGTGGAGTGTTTAACAATAAAATATCACCACATCCCCATGTTAAAAGGCATAAGAAAAACAGCAGGGTGTTCCCTTCATTGACATACATTTAAAAACACGTTCTTTGTTTTAATTCTTACTACAACACTGTTTGTTTAGACTTTTAGCAAAGTTATGTTTTAAAAATCCAGTTGCTTTGAATTACTGGCAGTGATGGCACAACACCACTGGTAATCACAGTCAAAATACAATCAGAAGTAGTAAATCATTAGTCTTGTTTTTGTGTCCAGTTGTCTGCCACAGCCCTACTACACTGTAGTGCTCTCTGTGCGATACCGCTCCTTGACAGCAGGGGGCGTACAAAGGCTGGTAGAGCCGATGTTCACCCCCACCCCCACCCAAGGCAGACGTCAGGAATCAATAGAAGGAGTGTTGAAAAACAGGTTCTTGCAGAGCCTGACCGTGTCGTCGGGAGAGAAAACCGTGTAGCCAATAGTCCGTGGGTCATTGAAGATTTCATAGTCATTACCCCCCTTGAACAAGAAGACATGGACTGAGCCACATCATGCATGACAGACAGGTGACATTTTGTACTATATGAGAACAGTTCCCCAACCTCAGCCTTAAGAGTAATTTTTTTTAGTTCCTCGTCTTCTTGCATTCCTGTTTCTCTATCATTATGTTTGTCCTACATCAGGGTTCTTCAACTCTGGACCTCGATTCCAAATCCACGCCGTGTTTTCAGTTCCCCCAGGTAGTTGTTTAATAATCACTGATTCTGATTGGTCAGAGGCTTCACACCTGACTGACAGGTAAAGGAAGGCTGGAAAACCAGCAGTGCTCGGACCTCGAGGACCGTGAGTTGAATAACCCTGTCCTACATGGTCAAGCTTTATCTGGAGCAGAATTTCCTGTCCATTTCCCCCTCAAACCTAGACACATTCCAGAATCCCCTCCTCCTCCTACCTCCTCCTCCTCCTCCTGCTCCCCTGACCAGCTGTGACAGCCACCTATTTTCACAGCAGGCCCTGAAAACGCCTGAGGACTGCAATAAAAGCAGACATTCTTACCGGCGAGGTCTCGTTGCCGAAAAAGTAGATGGCATCCAGGCCTTCCCCCTCCAGCACGTCCAGACAGAGACGTTTGTCCCACCCCTCAGGGAACACATCGAAACTGATGAGGCCCCCTTTGTAAAAAAAAAGGGCATGTCAAAGAGTGGGGTGGAGGAGGGGGGCAAATTAAGACAGTTAATTTATGGTGAAATAAACAGATTTTCTGTCCTAGATCAGGAGATTGGAATAAAGCTATAATCTTTATACCCAGAAGGAAAAACTCCATTATGTCCCAGTTCATCACCATCAGGTTCCTCCCAGTGGCCTCCTGACTACTCACTATTCTCGCCATGGACAAAGAAGCCCTTTCTGGTAAACGTTGTATCACGTGGTAATTCTGTGCACAGAAACTCCCCTTTTTTGGTGTTCTTGGGGCAAACTATGAGGACGTGCTCCTCAACCCTGCAGCAATAACAGCTAAAAATCACAGCAATTACGCAAACAGGCATTTTAAGGCGAACCCGGAGTGGCCATGAGCTACGGGCAAACAGCAGCTCTCCGTCTTTTCTTTCTACTTTCTTTTTCTTTGTCGAGTCAAAAACAGGGAGGAGCAGCCAAGCGGGGCGACGGCTGTCATAAACGTCCCCCGCCTTTGTCCCCGGCTCGGCCTTCACCCCCGCCACACTCGGGCAGTTGTGTGGCCAGCCTACCTATAGGCCACATTCAGCTGAGCCCTGACTGAGGCGGTCATGTGACCTGCTGCTTGGGAGTACAGACACGAGCGCACGGCCGTATGCACACACAGGCAGCTGGCCTGAATCAAGCCCCCTCATTTCCATTCTAATCACTCTCTCTCTCTCTCTCTCTCTCTCTCTCTCTCTCTCCCGCCACATTCGCCCCGGACGCCTCGGCAGTCACAGAACTGGAGGTTCCGTGCTGGAGCTCCGCCAAGTTTCCGTTTCCCCGGCGATCACTGAGCTCCAGCCTGAAAATGGCACCTCAAGCGAGGTGTTCCCACAGAGCCCCCCCCCCCCCCCACCCCCCCCCCCCCCCCCCCCCCCCCCGGGATGGGCTGAGGGGAGAGGGGAACGGGGGCCGGCGAGGAGGCAGCTAAGTGGGTCCTGGTGCCTTTAAAAACCCATTTCTGACCAACAAATGGCAGAACTTGACTGGTACCAGGTAAGAGGCAGGTTATTCACATACAACCTAGGACAGAAGCCCAAGCTGGACCAGAACCGCCTGCCGGGGGGGGGGGGGCGTTAAGTTACATCTGGGCCACGGATGACATCCACGGTGAGGCAGTGAGCGCGGACAAACAGAGAGTCCTGTCTGTTTACACAGCGGCTGGATGTCAGCTTTATCTAGCTGGCAGGGATCCAAACGCGACGAGACGCTCGGTCGGAACGCTGAGATGGCGTTTGGCCGCTGTAATGATTAATCCGGACCACAACAACAACAACCTCCAGACGGGAACAGAAGCCAGGCGGAGATCGAGAGTGCTGAGGACTTTGCAGAGAACTTTGTGCCATCCATGGCTCGATCTAACGGAGCAGAACAATCAGCCCAAAGTTGTGGAGACTAAAGAAAAAAGAAAGAGGAGTATTGAGGGGGTGGGGGGGCAACTCTTAGAGGAGTATAGATGGGGGTGGGGGGGGGCTGACTCTTAGAGGAGTATAGACGGGGGTGGGGGGGGCGCTGACTCTTAGAGGAGAATAGACGGGGGTGGGGGGGGCTGACACTTAGAGGAGTATAGACAGGGGGTGGGGGGGGTGACTCTTAGAGGAGTATAGATGGGGGGTGGGGCTGACTCTTGGCAGCTGGTCGTGAGAGGAAGGAGGTCAGAGGTGCCATTTTTCACGGCGGCCTGTGCACGCCTCCCCAGGTGGGTCTTACCCTCAGACTTCACCCCCTCTTCCCACCCGCACTCTGGTCTCTCAGGCGAGTGCTAATAGCTGGTCGGTCCCTGTGGCCCATCGATGGCCATTAGCCGACGCTAAGTGGTCATTAGCCGGCTGACAAATCGCGGCTCATCCCACACAAACAGACGCTGCCTCGCACTAACCGGTGGACGGTGTGGACGTGAACAAGCCCAGAAGTATCATTTTAACATGTGCAGCCTTAAAGCCTAAATGGCTGTTAACTAAATAGAACCTTTAATTACACCAACGTACCCCTCCCACTCACTGTTCTATCAGTTTTCCATATTAGTCGTCTGTATGGCAGTGTATATTTTTTATTGGTTTCACGCATTATTCCCCTCAGGCTAAGCGGAAAACCAGCCACTTGCGTCACAGCACAGCCCCTGGTGTGATCAAAACAGTAGATTTGACAAATAAGAATCTACGCTTGTCCAAATGAGGCTGGAACTTGGAGGCTGGTATCTGGGTTTAGTTTAAATACGTTACACCGTGTCGAGCAGTAAACTCAGAAACTGTGAGGGGACGGCTGAACTAGCGCATTAGCGTGCGATCGCACGGATCTACATTTACCTATTTAGCAGATTCTCGCATCTTAAGCGATGTACCATTGACAAAACAGGGTCCACCAGTGTCTCTGAGGCAACTGCTGCTAAGGCCGTCGCTCAGTGACCCAAAAGTGAAAGCATTCTGCCAGCCACGGGATTCGAACCAACGACCTTCTGAACACGGATATAGCATGCTAGCTTTCTGAGCCGCACACTTCCCCAAATGATTATGTCTACCAGATCTACCATTAAATGATCAGAGGCCACCACACAGGTGTCAGATAACTCATCCGTCAGGTAGCAGCTGATGTGGCAATGCTTTCCGTCCCCGATTTGCAAGCTATGGTGTACTTCAACCCCGCTGTAAAATTACCCCAAGGGCAAATATTTGAGCTTTCAACCCTGTCTGTGACAGTATTGACTTCACCCAGTGGTGTGACGAAGTGACGGGGTTGGGGGGGGGGCGAAGTCAAAGGCGTGAGAGTCAAACTGCTGCTCTGGCTCCATCCAGACTCACTCACCCCGCGTGAAGCGCAGCCCCTTGCCGGCAAACTCCTGCTGAAGCGCCTCCACAAACCTCTCGCGGATCCTCTCTCTCTGGGTGGGGAAGGGGAGGGGGAGAGGAGAGGTCGGTGCGCTTGTCCACCAACGTTTGGCCGGACGGAGGAACATGTTTCTTACCTTGTCGATTTCGGAGAACTCGATTCGCTCCTCCAGTGTACAGCTGCGGCCGATCGGGGAGATATTGATCATCCCGTTACGGAATTCGATGAATGTACCCCTGAGGGAAAAACATCAACAACAAAAAGAGAATTAAACCTTTCAGACGGACACGGAACATACCAAGAGACAGAAATTTCACCGTGGGTTAAAAAAATTCTTTCAAAAGTAGGAAATAATTTTACAAACGTAATATTCCTATGGGACATATATATCAAAGTAAAATGCTGGAATCACAAACAGCTGCTGCAGCCTATAGGTCAGGGCTCTTCAAATCTATCCCTCAATTCCAAATCCAGGCCGTGTTTTCAATCCTCCCAGGCAGTTAGTTTAATAATGACTGATTCTGATTGGTCAGAGGCTTCACACCTGGCTCACAGCTAAAGGAAGGCTGGAAAATCAGCAGGGCTCGGCCCTTGATGACTGCGATTCGAATTCCACTTCTACAGGCTATTTGCAGGTAGGACCGGAAGCAGAAGACATTTCAAATGGCCTAGAAATGCAAAACTGTACTGCAAATCTGCCCACAACAGTGTTACTGTCTGACAGTTATTGCCGCCATTTGTGATTATTGCCGCTGGAAGATAGCGCCACCCTTGGGTCTGAGCTATGCTGAACAGAGCACGAGCCTCACCTCTTCTTGGGCAGCCTGATAAGCCCCATGTAGCGCAAGCAGAAGTTGATGAGGTCCTGCAGCAGCTCCTCGCCCAGATGGTTCTGGATGGCCTGAGGAGACAGCCAACCTTACATGCTGCCCCACCCCAACCACGAGACCCAGTCCCAAGGATGGATGCATGACTCTGGCTTCCAAGCCTTAGCAGAAGCCTAAGTAACACCCCCAGACCGCTTCTGCGACAAACCAGCAGAGCTGCACTAAACACTGGAAGACTTGACCCGTAAGACCAGTCATCTCCCAGATCCACACAAACCCAACCCCCCCCCCTCACCTGTTTGGAGATGAGCTTCCCGTCCCTGTACTGCACCGTGCCGTTTTCCGCAAACACGTAGTCAAACTTGTGAATCACTGCACAAGAGGAGAAGAAGAAACTGATCGCCTGGAGAACAGGAGATGTTTACATTTTTCTATTTAGGGGATATTTTATCCAAAGCCACATTTTTTTTTTGTTTTTTGAGGAAGCAGGCTCAGACCGTCCCTGGAGCAACAGTCAAGCTCCATTTCCTCTCTCTGATTGAACATCTGTGACATACACGTTTCCTCTCTATATCACACAAAGCATTAGACAGACTTGCAGGTGTTGCAAGTCCACCCCAGATGTGAGTGTCTATTTCAGCACTGTCATAATCTGGCAAATTAATCAGGCCCAGGAAGCGATAAGATAATCGAAAGAAACCTGAGTAAACATCTAACAATCGGGCTTCCATTTTCACCTATATAGATTGTGTAAGATCTATATGTACTTTGGCATTGCTGAAGAACGAACGGTATCAAGTCAACACGAACGGATTACTGTCGATTATCAGAGATTTAAGATTACAAGCTACGGGGGACTATCTGGAGCAGTCTGATTAAACCTCTGAGCAGTATCTGTTGATTAATGTTCAGGCTTCTGGCAGTTCCAGGGTGGGTGTGGCCTAATCAGAGTCAGTAGCACCGCTGTCGAACAGCACCAGTCTTGGGGGTTCGAATCTCATCCCTGCTTTGTTTGTGGGCAGGTTGCATGTCGCACGGCATTCCTCCTGCAGTCTAAAAACATGCAGTCATGCTAACTTGTCTGTAGTGTGTGATTGTGTGTCCCGTGATGAACTGGAATCTGTCCACGGTGTATCTCATTTATGTATTAGTCACCGGAAGACAAATGGATTAATCACAAGCTTACTAAATATTCCTGCATCTCCATCCTTCATTTTTAAGATATAGCTGATCGTATCGTCACCGACCGTATCTTTCAACACAAAGGATGTTAGTCTCTTACCGTCTAATAAGAAGATGGGAACTGCTGTCATACCTTTGTGCAACCAGTGTTCCTTGCTGAAAAACTGCGTTGGTATAAATGATGCAGCAGGTAGGAGCGAGAGAGCCCAGCTACATTATGCTGGATCCAGAATCCAGGGGATTACAGAGAGTAAGCTGTTAAAGGAGTTTTATTTCCGAGGGATGCATGCCAACAGGCAGATCCAAAAAGCTCTAGAGTTGTCTTACCACACACATGTATTACCTCAATAAAGCAATCAAGAGCTTAATCTGAATGAAAACAAACACGCCTTGCTGGCCTGGAGGGCTGGGGAGTGTCCCTGCTGGATTTCAGTGCAAGTGAAATATCTATGACACACAAAATACCCCAGATAAGGGAGCCCCCAGATCAGAACAATCAGCATAATGCAACGCAATGGAGGGAATGTAAACAAGGATGGATAATGTTACCCTAAAAGATGATAACTAGTAAAACCATTAGAATGAAGCCATATCCAATTTGCTCCGACACACTTGTCAGGTTTGATCAGGTCCCTGAACGTGCGTGTGCAGCATGAATCCACTTAACGGATGATCGGTGTCATGACAGTATTCAGGGATGACAGTTTCGCCGTGCTGGCCATAGATATATATCAGCCAGATCAGCAAAAAGCCTTTCCACCGCAACAACGTATCACAGGATGCTCTCTGCTTACACAGAAATCATTCTCCAGGCTGGCTGAAAATGCCTGCCGCTTCGCGTATCCCGCAGTCCAGTGGAACATGTTGAGCAACAGGCAGTTGAGAAACACGCAGGATCAGTAAAATCTTGAGCAACAGCCTGAAGCAAATGACGCGACCGTCGAGGAGAAACGGCAAAAGGGTCCCGGGGGGGGGGGGGGGGGGGGGCACCTCACCTTCGTCGCCGTCCCCCAACTGCTCTGCGATCTTGGAGTAGTCGGAACCCCCCACCACGCCGATCTTGACCTTCCTCCGCAGTGACTGGAAAAACTGGTCGAGCTCCGGATCTATTTTCTTTTTTTGAAAAAAAAAAAAAAAAAACACAACGCAAAATCCATTATGGGAGCCCAGCTGTTACTGCAGACTGGCAATAAATGAATCATGGACTTACTGGCCATAATGTGAGAGGGATCTGGCGGATTTCCAACTAGGATACAGATCTGCTGCTCTGTGAAGGTCTACAACATGCAGACTGCAACACAGGCAGGACTAACTGGCCCAGTCGAGGAATATTACCTAACAGATTTAATACACATTGGGACAGCGCCTTTCTTCAGCAGCTTAAAAGATGACATGCGTTACAAATTTCGCTAAAGAAGAATATTAACCATTACGTTAACTAAAAACTACATTTAACATAAATGTATAAAAATGTATATAAATTTAAATTTCATTCAGTAATCGTCTCATTTCTCACGATCACGTTAGAACAACCGATGTGTAGCTTATTACAGGTCTCCGCCTCCAACGATGATTCAAAAACACCGACTGACTTCCGACAGTCGTAGATGCGCATAACTGCACGTAACCAGGCGACCATCGTGCACACAGAGACTTGATTTTAATCGAAATGGCCAGCGAGATTCTTCCTTTACGGTCAATACCATTCCATACCCACACGTCGCATTGCTTGTTTTTTTAACATGCATTGTTTTAGGCAGAGGCTGTATGGTATGTGGAAGGGTAATATAAAAGCTACGTGTATCAAACGCAGTAAGCTCAGTAACCGTATAGCTGACAGTGCTTATACATCTCGATCACGGTCAGTTACTTCATGCAATGCAACAAAGTACAGTGCAACCTTCGCATAGCGCAGGAGACTGATACATCCGGCGACACAAGACAGCGGGATCACAAGCGTGATGTTGTCCCCACACGGCATAAAAGAGGACAAGATTTACTCACTTCTCTAGCTAGTGTTAGCGTGCCGTCCACGTCAAACAGACACAGCACGTTTCTGTTCGCAGGAATTCGATTCTCCTCCATAACATATATAGTATGATCACAAAGATGTGATCACGCTTGAAAATAATACATATACGAGTAGATTTAAAAGAAACAAATGTTCCAAAACTTTGTCAATAGGTCTATTAAAGTCATCAAAATTGTTTAACGGTTACAAATACTGATATGATTAAAGGCATATACTAAGCGGATACGGTCAATACTGTGCAGTGTCCCATTCCATTTAAAAATTAAGGATCACGTTCCGTAGACGGACATCGGGTTCCCTGCGCACGTCGCCGTGTTACCGTGTCCTCCAGAGACAATCGGCCAATCAGATCCTGCCCTGCGAGTCATATGTGCAGGGGCGGTAACCTACACTACGCGCTGCCGGAGCCTTGGTATTTGTCATTTCATCAGAGGCAGCAGGGTATGTGTGTCTAGAAATATCACATTCTGTGGTAATTTCTTGACTTCGGATTGCATTCACGGAGACTTTGTCCAAAGCTTGCCCACTAGGAGGCAGAGTACAAGAATGATCCTCTATTTAACAGAATTTAAAACAGAAAGTTTATTTTGGTATATAATTTACAATCCAACAACTTAATCAGGTTTGATTTTGTATTAAACAAAACGAGGCTTACGGACATTCATGGTTTAAAAGGCCAACAATAGGATATTTTTGTTTTGCTTTCGCGGATATA